GGTTGTTAGGGCTTTCACAAAAAAAGCTATAAGTTCTAAAGCAAGCATTATCCCGTCAAAACATTTTGGAAATCTTCCTAAATGTGTTGTCGCTGCCTGCTGTGAAAGTTTGTTCGCGAAAACTGAACCTCAGTTGAGCATCGTTCAAGGAAATCGGTCGTTCTATCCGTGCAATGACTCTTATAACAATTTCGAAGATATAGAATTTCCAAGAGCCCTTTCGAAACGGTCGAAGAAATCAACGTTTTTAGTGAAATGAATATTGTGACGAAACGTGTCATCTCGAAGCGCGTTGAAAATTGAACAAATTCAGCAAGTTTAAGTAGTTTTTGTCTCGGAACTTTTCGGAATAAGAATTAGAAAACTAAATTTTTCCAAGTTTGAAAAATGGTAAAATTTTTCATTTCGATTTTGAACTACAGAAATAAAATAGAAAGAATGCTATACTTATATTACATACTGACCAGGAAATTATTAAGAAGTTGCACAGCACTGTCGACAACTTTAAAATACTTGCCAATTATGGATGAAATTGTTAAAGTTGATTATTTCAAACAAAAAACTTCTTTTTAAGCTACATGAAATTGACACTCGTGATCAGCAAAAGGACCTGAACAAATTACCTAGAGTACCCTTTATTCAAATTCAGAAACTTCTTTTTGCTGAAACTTTGAGCCTGATGCGAACCAACGACCCAACTGCGAAAAATCTCTCCGTCACATTTTACAATTTTTTGTGTGATGAGATGACGTTAAGTGCGGTCTAGTAGCAGCTGATAGGCATCAACTGTAGTTATTCGCCGTGTTGAATCTCTTTTTCCTTCAAATATCAATTTATTTTTTATGTCTCATAAGCTATAGACAGCTTGCTCGATATTGTCGTCTTAGTCTTTCTTAAGCTTTTGTATCAGCAAAAATAACTTTCGCAATGATCATATATCTGGTTTATACACGTTTACCCATGTTTATTGTTGCATGAAGTCGCTTCACTTTATATATATTTTAACTGACTAATGCCATACATAAATAAAATCACACATACGCACGCAAACACACACACACATGTATAAGATTGATCAACAATATCTCAAACGAACATAATAACAAAAAAAGGAGACGCGTTTGTGTTTCAACTTTCACGTCAACATTGCCATTGCTATTGCCGTCATTCTAGTTGCTACTAACCGGTGTTGTATCACCATTTGCCAAGGTTGTATCTTCACATCGCCAAAGTCCATAAGTACGACCAACTGTGTTTTGCCATAAACGGACTGTTCCATCTTCTGAACCACTGGCATATAGTTCACCATCGGGAGAATAAGCCATACAGTGAATAGCACCAAAATGTCCTTTATAGGATTCTATAAGATGAACAAAAATAACGTACTAGGTAACATTTTGAGCTTTTCTTTTATACCCACCCAGTAAATCTCCAGTTTCGTAATTATATTTATAAATTAACAGATCTTCACCGCCACAAACAAACTCTTTTGATGATGGATGGAATGATGCGGCATTGATTCTACACGGCATTTCAAACGATTGACGTTTTTGCAAACTATATTAGAAATACCATGATAAGTGTACGTGAACATCACAGTAATTGTTTAGTATGAACTGTTGTTCCGTAGTATAAAAGCGATTAAACACCCGAGTATTATACGCACTAAGAAAATGATAGAGATTTGGTAAATATAACATGAGAGAGATATCGTATAGCCAAGAGTTATCGTATGGTCTATGCTTGAGAGTAATACAATTATTAACTACTGCATGATACGTTTTCATTATATCTTCGCTAGATTTATTAAAGCTATATTTACCTGTTTCCATCATATATTTCAACATTCTTGCCTTGTGTTAGAATTAAACTTGATTGTCCGTCGTGTGAAACTTCGAGACTGTTCGGTGATGTTGTAAAATTAATTGTTGATAAACATTCACCACTGTCAATATCCCATATTCTAAATACACATATGAGTGATTTATATATCTTAGTTTGATTTTTACATGAATACACACATACTTGACAGTTTTATCTTCTGATGCACTAACAATTCGTTTTGTATCCATATAAATAGCTCGTCGAACAGCACCACCATGTCCGGTAAATGTTTTCAATGGCTCTGTTGGTACATTTATATCAAATATTTTCAATAATTTTTCATTTGAAGCTGTTAATAATGATTTATTATCATATGAAAAATCAACAGATCGAACAATATGACTATGAGGATATGTTTGTAATTCTTGTCCAGTTAGAGCATCAAATAATTTTGCAGTAAAATCTGCAGATGCTGTTGCAGCAAATTGAGCATTGCCAGTTAATGTAGCACTCCAAACAGCGCTTCTATGCCCAATGAACGATCCAATCCAATCGCCTGTATCACCTTCGCGAAGCATCGGACGTCCATCTAGAATAATTATATCCAAAACAAGTGTTATTTAAGAAAAATTAGAAATCAATTATATACCTTTACAAGCACTAATGAGAAAATAACTGTATGGGGTAATATCACCTATTTAAAATGAGAAAAGAATTATAATTTAATATTCTACCTTTATGTTTGATATACACTTACTAAAACGAAGATCAGTAATAGGACGTGTATGACCACAACAACTAACTGGTACTTGGCGTAACGAAGATGATGATGAAGACATTTGGTTTATTGAGCATATGCACCAAAAGAAAAATATATTGCAATGTGCAAAAAAAACAATAACAAAATGCACTTGTTTTATTGATAATGTACAAAAAAAAATTAATTAAAATAACAGATCAAAGTTTTAATAGTGGATTATATTGATAACCTAAAAAATAAAATATTTGGTGATAAAATTGAGAATAATCTACTTATATAGACAACTTACACATTATTGTAATAATCTGACGAAGAAAATGATTTTCAGGTTGATGGTAACTCATCTAAAATATGCAGAAGAGATAAAATATATTGCGATGATTACTCAGAACAAAATAAAAAAATGAGAAGAAACGAATGATTCATTCACCTATTCAACAAAAAATGTTACAGATGTATTTGTACAAGTTTTCTTTTACATAAGTTAATTTAAAAAGGAACAAAAAAATAAAAATACAATAAACTGATAAGTGACGAAAAGTAAAAACAAAATGTTCTGGTACTGCAAACACCAAATGAAAAAAATTACCACTGCAGATGGCACGAACGTTTTTTCACAAAAAATATTGAATTATATTCATGAATTGTGATATAAGAGAACAAAAACAATTTTTAGATTGTCTAATAAAATAAAGGAGTTAAAATATTTACTATTTAAGAACTGATGTATCACCATAGAACATAAACGTAGAGTTATGTGTGTATAAAATAAAAACAAACAAAAACATGTTTTTTATGAGCTGTTAGAAAAATGAGACGAACGACCTCTTATTTTCCCAATACAAACTCAAAATAAAGCTTTTATAAAATACACATGGGACAATAGACAATGGATTACAAAAAGCAAATTACAAATAACTATATTGTAATATATTTCAAGTTGATCTTATTTTTTTAATCATCAGAATCTAAGGCATATATACAGCGAACTTTTTACGTTCTTTATATGATGACATTGCCAAAACTACTAATAAATATGTTTCTATTCGAAAAAAAATGCTATAAAACTTAGGTAAGTTAAAAATACTGACTTTTTATTCAAGTTTTGACATGATACTGAGACAAGTCATCTTGTCGATTATAAAATTAACTTTTTTACGTAAGTGATGTTCGATGTTAAATATGAACATGATCTAATGAAAACAATAAATGAAATCTGATTTATATAAGTTGTTTTTTTTTAGCACACGAAACATATACAAATAATTTCTTTTTTATCTTCTATTCTAAATCGAAAATTGTATTCAGTAGTAAAATACATGCGCAGAAACAAAAACAACACAGATCCTCTTAAAAACAAAACAAAATCAAAAATAACAATTACAGACTTGAAGAAATTATATATTATCTCTTATTAGGAGTAATCAATAAATTATTAGTAAAGTAGAGATGTTTACCTTTATCTTTTCTTTCTATGATTTAAGGTAGACTTCTATAGAACAATAAGATAATAAACAAACTCAATAAAAATTATTTGTCTAACAAGATGTTGATTAAAAACTTCGTTACACAAATCCAAGAAATATATGTGTATATTGTTTCTCGTCAAATTTGAAAGAATAGACAAAAATCAACAGACAAAATGAAAAAACTCACCAACATCGCCATACTAACTTTTATTATATAATTTCAATGCTTTTTTCATTAGTGCCGTTTTAGCTGGTCCTATAATGAGAAAAATACATTAGATTTAAACGACTAAAATATGCAAAAAAAGTAGAGAGATAGATCGATGCATTATCTAAGACAAAGAATAAGAGACATACTTCTTTTGGTTACTCGGTCATGTCGCATATTTGACGGAGCAGGAATAGCTAGGCGAATATTGTTGATTACTTGCGATTGACTTCCATTTCCATTTGAGGCCGCTTGCTGATTACGAATTTGTCTAGCATATTCGTGTGGAAGTTTTTTTGGATCAGCCAATTTTGTTTTACGGGCTGTATTATCTTTTTGAGCAAACTTTTGAGACAATTTTGATGTTACTTCTCGAAATAAATCTTCTTTTTCTTCACGTTTCCGCTACAATAAAAGAAACATTTGAGAAATTTTAGTATATAGAGAAGACAATCTGTACCCAATATAATTCAAAATATGATTCATTTTCATCTGGAACTGCCTCTTTAAACTCAAGTTGACAAAATCGTTGCCATAATGGCTCAATATCATCAGCATAGTTCTAAAAACAAATTAGAAATGTACATGATGTAGTACAGTAATTTTAATTTTCTGAATAATACCTGATTATTATACACAATATTTTTCAATTGGTCCGATGTGGCAAGCTCGATAACCGGTTGCAATAATTCATATGGCAACAAATTGAAATAACGATGAGAAATAACTAGAACAGTAAGTATTTTTTTGATAAAAACTGTTCATTAATATGCAAGAAAATGTCTTTATCTACCGTCGATATGTTCTTTTAAAGTATCAAGACACAAATTTTCAAGTTTTGGTATATAATCACGTATTGTCCTTTTCCCAGAATACATCTGAGGTCTTTCACGACGAGACGACAAATATTGCAATGATGTATTATTGACTAGAAGTAAAATTAATGGAATTGATAAGAAAATGAGACAATAGATAATAACTAACCAGCAGCCGGTTTGGTTACCGTAGATTGAGAAGATGAAGTTGTAACTGGACGAGAAGCTGGGGGTGGACTAGATCGAACTATAGCCGTTATGGCTTGTTGTTGTCTTGAATGTTCAGACTGAGTTTTCTCTGATGTCGATGATATTTTATCTTGTTTTTTTTGCTTTTCTACTGAATTTTTTGTTGGAGATTGAACGGTCTTTTTTGAAAAAAGTTCTGTTTTTGTTGTCTCTGATACTTTTTTACATTGACCAACCGTGTGTTTTGATTTATTCTTTAAAAAAAAATATTTTTTCTGGTAGAATTCAATTCGAAACCGTCACATTTAACCAGCAGACTGTCACTTCATTTATAATCATACTGAAAAATTCACCCTCACCTTTATTTTGCTTGAAGTTGATGATGTTGCAGCTGATTGTTTGTTTGTTTTTTGTCCTGAATAATTGTTAACGACGCTCTTTTTTAACATCATTGTTTGTTGTTGTTCTGGTGTGTCTTCTTCGTCATCATCGGATGCCTGTGCCCATAAATCTTTAAATTTATCAGCACTAGTCCTGTGATTTTCATTCTGTTGTGAATCCATTACTGTTAGATTAGACTTTGACAACCCTTTTGTAAATAATGCTGGTTGTCTTCTTTCATTATTATTATCATCTCGAATATAATTCAGTTTTGGTGCATTAGAAGCGAGTAGATCCGTGGTTTTATTAAATGAATCACGCAATTCTTCAATTTGAATGTCAGTCAAATTAGTATTATTGTACTGAAGATTATCATTCATCAATTCAGCTGTTAATTGATCGTTCTTATATGGATAAGAATCGGGTGGTGTTGTCAATACTGTCGACGAACGTTTACTGAGATATTCATTCACAGATAAAACTTTCCGTTGTTTATTTGCTGTTGCACAACTATGAGGTGATTGTGACTCACTAAAATAAGTAAGAGAAAAACTTTAATGTCGAAGAATGACTTTATTTTTTGGTTAAGTCATTCAATAAGTCTGATAGCCGCATGTATGTTTGAACTTGAGGAGGGCATTGCATAACCTAGCACAAAAAACTATTAGATCGTACAGAATTTTGAAGAAAGAATTTCTCGATTGCTTTTATTGCGGGCATGGACATAACAAGTGAAAAGGGTTCCAGCTTAAAGCAACACAAAGAACAAACTTTGCTTCATTTAAAATATCTTCGTTTGATTTTCTTTTTTTCGTTGATTTATTCGTATTTAATTTTCCATTCATACTGTGACCATTTTTCTTTGATTCACTGATCCATTTTGTCAATAAATTTCTTGCTGTTTCACTATAAACATTGTTATTCTGTGAACATAGTCGTTTAACAACATAATCAACGTGTGTTATCTAAAAACTAAAACTTTGCCAGTAAATTTTGTAAAGATTCTTGTCTACATACTTTTAGAAGATCAATAGTAACACCCACGTGCTGTAATTTGGTAAGATATTCTTGCACCTGATAAAAGGAAAAACAGTAGGGCATTTGTATTCAATTAATAAGTTTGCTTCAAAATTCATACTTTATCATCCTGATTTGTTTCGGAATATTTCTGTAATTTCTTCTTCACATTTTCAATTATATGAATTGCCTCGTTGCTCATCTTGTGGAAAAAAGGTTTTTATACTAAAACAGATATTTGAAACATACACAACGACCATTCTGGTGGATTTTGCTTTTTGGACCACTGAATAAAGTAGATTCTAACTATACTTCTAATGTAAAGATTAGACAGACATACACAATAGAAATATAGCATGTAGAAGAAAATCAAACATCAAGAAAGTTCTTTCTCCTATTTATTTTTCTTTCTTACTTTCTTGGTAAAAGCTTCAGAACGAAAAACTACACGGCCAATGAAATTTAAAAGACACGCTAGAAAGCTATGGTGTCTGTATGTCTATTTAGACTGTACTTTTCTTCACTCACAGACGATAATGATGCAACCATTATAATTTGGCACTGATATAAAGTGATGACTTGTGGATCAGTCCTTTACTCTATAAGACGGTCCATGTAAGTGCTGGCTACTCACGCTTAAGTGGACAACTTAATAACTAATCATAATTTTTTTCTTTCTTGTGTTTATTTTTACGTGATCGATCAATGCAAGTAAGCTATCAATTTTTACGTCAAAGACTAGCACCATCAAGTTTCGAATTCGTTTATAAAGAAATTCACTTAATTTCATCGAAAAAATATTTTATCTCCGTAGAAAAGGTCTGAATCAATGTAAAATTCACCTTCTTCTCAGCTCCGTGGCGATCGATTCGGCTTTTTTTCTTCGCTATGATACTGCTTCTCATGATACCATATTGATCTGTTATACATTTTCAAAATAGTTGGTCAACCTTCTTATCTTCACTGCTGAATAATAAATATCTCGTTAACGGTAGCAAGATATAAGCTATATGGGTGAGGAATGGAGGTCGAACACACTACAGCAGTGCATAAGATGAGGATGAAAACACCTCAAAGTTGCGTTTGTTAGTTTACTTTTGGACAATTTAGCCCATAAGTAAATTTTTTTCATTTGAATTTAAAATTCAACTGTTCGATTCCATCCACTGTGTAGTGTTCTTCTGTGCATAGCTTCTTACTGCTCTATCCCTGTCTCTCTCTCTCAACGAGCAAGTACCCAAGGAAGCCAAACAGACTAGAATAAAAATTTTAGTCTGCGATTAAATTTCTCTGAAACTCTCGTCCAATCAATTACGTTTTTCCAATGCAGCAGACGTGCACAAAATATTAAAGATTTATTTGCGTTTGTTGGCTTTTTTCCCGTAGGCAGATTACCAATTTGAAGATTATCACAGAAAATTCTCTTAGTTACAAACGCCGAATCATACCTAATATAAATGTTCACAGAAGGTGCAGTTGTATTACCATTACAAAACAATTGCTTTTGTGCATCGCGAAGGAATGAATTGTTATCGTCGTTGACATGTGGAAGCAGTTTAAGCAAGAATTAATTATCTTGATCATTTCATACAGAATATTCACAAACGAATCGACATGAGTCTCGATCTCTTCGCTATTCTATTATTATCTTATATTTTAGTAAACTGATGTAGCTACAATGAACTCACGTTGTATCATAAATGACGAGTGATTGTTATCTTTATTTCTGTTTTTATCAATATCTTTTCGGTGTTCAACTGCGATTATCCATGCGGAATGCGAGCTACCATTGTAGCTTTTCGAGAACAAGTGCAGAAGAACAAATACATTGATGATGAATATTGATAACGTTCGATTTTACATGTTTCTTACATGAATTAATATCCTTATTTTATATACATTTTCTGTTGAATACGTTATATCCGGACATGGCTGTGCAAACTTTTGTAGTACATTTTCGTAACAGGCTCAGATTTGTTTCTGTGTTTTCTCAGATATATGGATCATTATTTGTTGATTAAACGAAAAATTTATGGAAAAATTACAATATATTCTTTCCTTGTGCAGAATTTCAACATGACGTGCTTTACTTACCACTAGAAACTTGAATGTAGCTTTGTTAGCTTTCCTGTCTTTGAAAAGAACTGAAAGGTGATAGTCAGTGTGTTTGGCTCAGTTCTGAAAAACACAATCCTTCAGTCGATTAGTTTCTAAACTCATAGCAGACAAAGACCAATCAGATTTGATTTACTGGTTTCATTTATCTTTATTTAAATTCAGAACTTTCGTTGAATGAATTTGTGTGTTTAAAAACCAAAAAATACACGAAATAAGCGTCCTTTTTCGTCTGATTAGTTTTTTTATCATTGATCCAAATCACGTTTTGATTTGATTGACCAGCCGATTCCATTAGCGAACCGAACCGTGAACGATCAAGATTAAGTTGCATTCTCAGAAAATTCAGAAAAATGAACGATTTATCCTACTTATAAAATATTGAATTGAGATACTAGAAAAACAACCGGTTTATCCTTTAATTCATTCGAAATCTACTAAAAAAGACTTCTCAATTTTTTAATTTTGTACGTCACATATGTACATTTTTTTTATTTGTAAGTTTTCTGTCAATCATTCTTTTAGCTGTTATTCAACGGCTGTTAATTATTTACTGCTGAGATAAGCAAATGCATTCTCTTATTATTCTGAAGCCTGAAAGAATAGAATAGAACTGTAATTGTATGCAAATGTTATTGAGATTGCCAAGGACACTGTCTATGAATGCTTTGTTACTGTCGTTTGTGTTTATTAAGATGTAATTCTAAGAATATGACTATCTGCCATAAAATGAGTAAAAATAAGGTGTTATGTATCACATTCTTTCTTTGAGCATAAAAACGAATTGGAAGAGCAATTTGACAAGGATTTCGAATGATGATGAAAGAGTGTTAATTGTATCATATCTGTTGTTTGAAATAAAAAAGAACTTATCTCTATTGATTATGATCTGCAAATGAGTAGAGTAAGAGAAAGATTGTGATGTTTGCGGTAAATTTTCCGGGTGCTACCTATCAGAGGTGAGTGGAACGGTTTTCTGAATGTTTCGCCTTGTATCGCGACGTTTTCATTTTGTGTAGAAAAAGGTTTTAAAACCTATTTTATCTCCTCTTGTGTAAAGAAAATTATCGTAATTTCATCTTCATCTATTTATTTAAGGCCTATTGCATCGATTCGCTCACCTCTGCTATCTACCCCAATACCTTCGACTCTTTCCTAATGATATTTAGATGCGATCTTGACCTTCGCAGCTTTGGGGCAAGAAATATCGTTCAAATAGTGACAAATTCATCAGTGAAGCGTTTTCTCCGGACTAAATGTTTTTAAGTGTCTGTGTTCCACATGAAAATCTCTTTAACTCTATCGCCGTTGATATCGTGTTCTGTCTAAAATATTGTAGAATATTACAATTTTGTATCATTAGATCTTACAAGATCATGTGACAGGAGATCGTATGATCTTGTAAGATCTTATAAAATTTCCCCTGTAAGATTGCTAGCTAATATTTATTTTTTATCATTAGGTTACACAAAATATTACAAGATCGTACGATTTCTTGCCACAAGATCGTGTGAAGTATTACCGTAAGATTTGTGAACATGAGTTCAACAAACGATGAATCAGTGACAATCAGTCTCCATCAAGAAGACAGATGATGACCCACCTGGATTTTGACCTTCTGCTAGTATTTTCAATTGTATTATCCACCGTGAAAAAGTTCTTCCTGACTCTTTTGTCTTAGTAGAGATTTGCTTTAGCGTCAAAAAAATTTATGTTGTGCCACTGGCTTAAATGGGATGTAGCGTTTAAGGTTAAAAAAACGTTTTCGTTGATCTTTTTTACCAATTTGTGCTCAAACTTTAATCCTCTCTGGCAAAAAAACAACGGGAATCCTTGGTGTCGATACATTTTTTTCTTGTAGGGTCTAAAATTACCAACCATTTTCCTTCGATTACATTCACCCTTTTTATGTTTTCTTTTGTTGCCATCATATGTTCAGATAGATTTTTTTTTTGTTTCATCTTATATTAGACTTTTAGTCAAGGAAAAAGGGGATACCATAGACGTTTAACAAAAGAAGAACAAATATCTGTAAATATTAAAATAATTTACCATCAAACAAGCAACAAAATAGAAGAAAAAAATGTAAGAAAAAAGTTTGCTACATACTGTTAGCTATATAAATGTAGTAACAGGTTTAAGAAGAACGAAAAAAATAATATAACATTATTCGTTTGTTTTATTTCTATCATGTAATATGCATGAATGAAATTGGTTAGCACTTATATGCATACTGTGTCATAGATTGATTGATCTCTACATTTTTCTTGTAGAAATATTTGACCATGGACATGTCGTTCATGTAATAGTAATGTCAAAACAACTTATAGTTGCTGGAATCGAGCTTGGTGGGACAGGATGCAAAGTGGGAATTAGTAATGAAAAAGGTGAAATAGAAGAACGATTTACTATTGAAACAATAACTCCAGATAAAACTCTCACATTACTATACAACTGGTTATCGGAGAAACAAAAACAATATAATTTTAAAGCATTAGGTATAGCCAGTTTTGGTCCAATAGATCTTCATCAAAATAGTGATACATATGGTTATATAACACAAACTCCTAAACCTCACTGGCAATATACGAATGTTGTGGGAGCATTTAAAAAATTAAATATTCCAATTGCATTCGACACTGATGTAAATGCACCGGCAATGACAGAAACCAGATTGGCAGGTGGAAGAATTACGACAGTAGTTTATATAACTATTGGTACCGGTAGGTTTATTTTTGTCGATGTTGGAATAGTTACTTGTTAAAAAAACGCAAACACATCATTTTTAGGTGTAGGTATTGGAGTGTGCGTTAATGGTCGTTCAATTCATGGTTTATTACATCCGGAAGGTGGTCATTTGAAATGTCTTAAATTTCCCGGAGATAATTATGAAGGCAACTGTCCGTTTCATCAAAGCTGCGTTGAAGGTTTAATTAATTCAAAAGCAATAGCGGATCGTTTACAAATAGAACCTAGTAAATTAAGTACAGTGCCTGATGATAACCCAATATGGAATCTTCAAGCGTATTATTTGGCTCAATTATGTGCCGCCATTGTTTGTCTTATTAGTGCAGAAAAAATTTTCATTGGTGGCGGACTAGCGAAAAGAACAGTGTTGTTTACACTCGTACGAAAACATGTACAACAAATATTGAATAATTACATTCAGGCACCTGAAATCATTGATCATATTGATGAGTACATAGTTCCATCGTCTCTCGGTGAAGATATTGGTGTTATATCAGCATTTGATTTGGCCCAAGAAGTTCTCAAGAAAGAATAAATGTCTGGTCAAAATTGAAGATACTAACTTATTCTACTCTTCTTGCAACTTTTTACATTCGTCAAAGTTTAATCTCGTATATTTTAACTTTAATTTATTGACTGTCACACTATAACAGATTTTCTTTCGATCAAATTTAGCGAAGATATTTTAATATTGTGTACTCGAAAAGTTCAGTTTTATATACGAATTGTTTGTCTGAAATTATTTATTATATTTCTTTATTGATTTTCAAGATCTGGTCTATTTTTGTTATGTTTTTTAGTTTTATTCTACATTCTTTTATCTCATTCCGGTTTTTTTGTCTCATTCCGATTTTTTAATCTGAAAAATGTAAATATTATTGAACTACATTGGTTAATTCAAGAAATTGATGAAAAATACTGAATAAAAATTTGACTCTGAATTAATCCAACACATATAATTATTACGTAAAAATAGAAACCATGTGTTTCCGATAAATAAGAAATTTCAATAAAAAAGATTATGAATACATCCTGAAGACACTTGAAAATTGAATAGTCAAGAAACAACGGCTGTGTATTGGTTATTTATGAAAAATTTACCACAGAAGTATTTTATATGCAAATGAAGAAAGAATGCCGTCTATCTTGTCTATAGCCAGGAAAATTTTCTTAGTTACCGTACGATATTTATTTAGGGAAGTTAGCTTTGTTTTTATCGAAATTGGATACGGAATAAATATCTGTCGCCGATTCGAAGTTTTTAGTTTCAGGACTAGTTGTTCTGTTTGTTATGTTTTTTGAGTTCATGGATATGTTCTTCATAACAAAAAGAGGTGATGAGATTTGTATTTTTATTCAATAACTCAAATACAAGAAAAATGTTGACCAATTTTAACCCACTGTTTTCTAAAAGGGTTTGCAATATTAAATTTAACGTTGACATCAAATTATGTAGAGATCCATTCTGTGAAAAAAAGCTTAGCTAAAATGAATAACGATTGTTAACAAATGGTTTTACAGATACAAGTATTTCTTCAGATGTACCAGCGAGAGATCGACTCGTGTTGATCTCTGGTACCAGAAAACTAATTCCAGAATTGATGCACAGGATGTTGAGGTCGTGCATTTACAACATCAAATACGTGGTCACGTGTAAACTTTCTATAATTTCATACGCGTTCACAACGTGAATTTCTTTTCACGTGTGTCCACACGCCGTTCTATGACTTTCACTATAGTGATCACGTGAGAAAAATATGATATGAAAAGTTTTCGTGAATAATTCACGCGTTATCACAAGTGGAATATATTTTTTACGCGTATCCACACATCATTTTACGATGTTCACGGATGTACACGCCGTTTTATATACTAAAATTTCCCTGAAGACTGAGTGCAAACTCCACTCATTTTGTCGAATTATATCAGAAAATGTAAACCGGAGCTCGCAAGACGAAGCAGGTTTTGAAAAACCATCGCGCTTTTCCCGTCATTTCCCGGTTGTTTTTGAAGGCTCCAAATTTGCTTTTTTGAACTTATATTCCCTCTCAGAAGTATCAATATTTAATTTCATATGAAATAAAAGAGCACGTGAAAGAACAAGAATATTGAGTAAAGAAATATTGAGATTTCCAACTTTTAAAATCCATCAGTTTTTCGAAAGCTGAAATTGATTTAAAATAGTTTTTGTTCGATCCAATAATGACACTTTTTACTTGTTAACTACATTACATTTTCCGATCGCTGCGATCCTGGAGCATTGAGTCATGTCTTTGAATGAGTCTCAACAGAGGCCCGCCGTCGAATCTTTCTTCTATTCATGCTGTTCCCTTATTTCTACTGTTGACGGATTTCTTTTATCTGTGCTTTTGGTGTTATTTGGCTTCAATGATCATTATTCTAGATCGGAGGTCTTTGGTGTCATGATTTTAACTATATATTTCAGATCAACTCATCTCGTACACTAACTTGAATGCATCACACTCTCTATAAATAGACGGAATGAATACGATGCATTGCATCTTCTAATTGAGTGTCTGTTCACTCACCTTTATCTACAGTAGACGTCATAAGCCTCGCGCCACTTTTTTATTTTGACTCGTGTATTAAAACTACAACATTAATTTAATTTGATTATATGTCTGTATAGTAGAGGTCGAGTACACCTGTATATACACCTGTTTAATATGAAAAACTCTTGAATATAAAAGACAATAAGAAAAACAAAGTTCAGGTCTGAGAAAAAAATGACATAAAAAAAGACAAAATGATAATAAAAATGTTTGGAAGACGTTTTTGTTTTACAATAGGCATTGTTTATACAGATTTTATAGAGCTTTCGACGGCGCATCTTTTGAAAAAAAATCAAGGTGTTACCATTTTCTTAAGCCGAGATACATGCAAAATATAACAGTCTTCCAAACATTTTTATTATGTTAAATACGGTGGGAAGTAGCACTATCATGTATTATTTTTTCATTAAAAGTATGGAAGAAACCATGCGAACAGGTCAATAAGGATTTGTTCTTACAGTTCTGTAGAGCTTTTCACGACGCATCTTTTGAAAAAAAAAAATCAAAATTTTGTCATTTGTCTGTGCAGAGATATTCGCAAAACGAACTACGTTGCAAACATTTTGGGACACCCGGTATTTCACAGTGTTTAGTATGTTGACTATAACACCGTCATTTCTCAATGAAATCCAAAATGTTTTTTACCAAAATGATCAGCGAAAAAAGCTCTACAAAGTCTGATAAAATGAGAAGTTTTCTGAATACTTTGTGTTTTTTGTGGTTGACTGCCCATGAAAGTATCATATAACAACAATATTATTTCGTCTTTCTTATGTCATTTTTTTTCTTAGGACTAACCTTTGTCTCTTTTTATTGCATTTTATAATCAAGGATTTTTCATATTAAACAGATGTATATATATAGTACTCGACCTCTACTATACAGACATATAATCAAATTAAATTAATGTTGTGTAGTTTTAATACACGACCCTAGTGCAAGTACTCATCCGATGAGTACGAATTTACTCATAATTCGTCCATGAGTACTCATATTGGTACTACTAACAATTTCTGAGTACTGTTACTCAGTGAGTACTAGTTACTCATGTGAGTACTAGTTACTCATGTGAGTACTCAGGAAATATTCATTCACCATTTTATTTTGCTAAACTGAAACTGTATAAAGAATGTAGAATTTAGGGAAGAAACACAGAATATTTATATTATTATTTTCTCACTGGTCTCTCTTTATATAGTCAGAGATAGACTTGTCTATGACTAGACTTGTAGTCCTACTCTGGCTACCTGAGATCACTCCTCTATATGAA